GGGGGAAGTCCAGTGGGAGATCAAGCTCAAGTTGAGCGAGAGTGTGGTTTGTTTTCTCCCGACCGAGGTTTCCAGAGTTCAGTTACAACTTATTATCGCCGAGATTTGACTTCATTGTCGGCACACAATTGGCATCCCCCCAGGTGGACGGGTAATTCGTTTTACGATGACAACATCGTATCCACCCTCCGGCTCACTCTACTAAGCATTCGATTCATTGGGAAAGCCCAACCAATCCACACGCGGCATTCTGTCGCCCGCACAACAGAGCGTGTGTTTGCACTTACCGTAAGGGCTTGCGCGTTCAACAGAATGTGCGTGGACTGCACGACGTCTGCGGCATGTACACGGTTATGATAGGGAACTGCTCGATAGTGCTCTTCAACCAAATTCATGTACCGAATGATGGTCACTTCTGAAAGCCCGAAACGCTTGATCAGACCGCGTTTCTGTTTGAAAAGAAATACAGAATATGGGAAAGGAACAGTATTAATTATTCGATTGATGGGTTAATAAAATTGCATTCATTTATCTACGCGAAATGAACAGTTAGTTTCCAGATCAACGGAGCAGACGGTGAAATATTTGTAACACTTGAACTCACAACTGATCAGTTCAAATTTCCACTCACGGTAGGTCAGTTGAACCTCAGTTATCCATCACAAAGCAATGAAATGTAGCAGCGATTTGTCAATCACAATTGATATTATGATGATACGAAATCATTTTGCAATAGTAGTGGTGGTGGTGGTTGAGCGGTGTAATTTACTGTCACTAACATGTTTTGGAATCTGAGGTTTGTTGTTCAAACCTAACAACCGTCAACCGACTGTGCTGGTGATGTAGTCCAAATCAGTACCGAATCGGTNTGGGGGTTTGACGCTTCACAAAGCAGGACTTGGGGGCTGTCATGTGTCCTGAGTGCTGCATCGATCTCTGTTTGTCACTCGATGTTGACTACTAGAATAAGTTTAGCGAGTAACTGAGTGTAATGCGTGTGTTTTCACTGAGGCTGTACTTTTTGGGAACAAGACGACTTTTTACTTGCTTGAAGAAACAATCAGTACTACTACTACTACCATAACAACAACA